CCCCCCCAAAAAAAAGGTTAAAAGAACCTGTCCATGATGAGCAAGCAGGAAGCGACAGTGGAGAGGAAAAACTCCCCGTTGGGAAGAAACCTCTGGCAGAACCAGGCTCAACATACCAGTGTTCTGCTGGACCGGTTAAGATAAGACAGGGAACACAGTAAGAGTCCGGGAGGAATGACGCTCTGATGAAGCTTTAGCTACGATGGTGGAGGAGGGGCTGGAGGTGGGTTTGAAACGGCGTCATCTGAATGAAGTCACAGCGCATCCACCGCCTGCACACAGGAGCGGACAGGTGCGTATCGGAGGCCTTTTAAGCTGAACTTTGGATACCGATAACCCTTCGTGGAGGTGTGGTTCAAAGCTGATTGGCTGTGTTGCAGGTGGATGTAGGAGAGCAATGAGTTTCGTCAGTTGAACTTCCACCTAGGCTCTATTTTGTGGACTTCCTGATAGCAAAGAATTACAATAGTCGAGCTTCGAAGGAACAAATGCATGGACTAGTTTCTCAACATCTCCAGATTAACCAGTCATAAGCGCCACACTGGAAAAAATAGCACTCCAGAAACAAGTAAAAAAAATTAAAATGAGAGTTTTTGGCTTGAAATAAGCAAAAAAAATCTGCCAATGGAACAAGTGAAAATTTGCTTAACAAGATATCTGGAAATAAGACATTTTACTTGATAAAGGCTATCTTGAAACTAGCCACAAAAACTAATTTTGACTAAAAATGTACTGAAGTTAAGAAATTTTAGATCCTGTAATAAGTTTGAGATGCTTAAAAGTAGTGTCGTTCTACTCAAATGTAGCACTTTTTTAAACTTCCATGTTCTTGTTTTAAGATGTATACAACTCATTCTTAGTCGCACAATTATGGCAATGATCTTGATTCAGGTATAACAGCCAATTAAAAATAGATTGGAACGCTTTTGTTTTAAGGCAAAATACTCTCAAATTAAGCTTTTCTGACTTGCAGACTGCAAAAGTAATCTAAATACAAGTAATAATTTCTTGAACTGAGTGTATTTGCCCTGAATTTGACCAGGTAACTAAGATTTTCTGTCAATAAAATTTGTAGTTTTTCACTTAAATTAAGATAATGTAGCCGTTTTTTCTTAATTTAAATGCAAAAAAAAAAAAATTCTACTGTCTTAACGTGCTCATATTAAGGTCCAATACAATTATATCAAGAAAATTATAACAACGTTTTACTTTGTACAGTGCTTGAATAGGTGTTTTCACAGAATTATAACTGTTTTTTTACTAACAAGATATAAATGAAACACATTGCAATATAAGACAAAAACAAAAGCTATTCTTTGACTGACATCGTATTCAGTATTCAGTGCAAGAACAACAACTGCTTAGTCAGTTTAAAGGACATATTTTAAGGACAACCATTAACAAATTCTTAATTTTTAACAAAAAAAAAAAAAACACCCCATTAAGTAGCCAGTTTACTTTTACAAAATCAAACATTTTTATTTATAAAAAAAAAAAAATTGGTGTTTGGGAGCCACTGTGTGAAACAGTCATTACTTAAAAGTGCACTGCATGAAAAGTGAGATTTTCGTCCCCGTAAACCCCCGTAAACTCCCGCAGATCTGCCTGATTTTCGTCAGTTTCCGACAATTTGCAACCCGTGCTTGTCCGCGTTTGTCGTGCCACAAATTGTCGGAAACTGACGAAAATCAGGCAGATCTGCGGGA